CCACTGTTACAAGTGGCAAGCCTTCCCCTTCACGGATCGCTCCAAAAATTGCTGCCTGTTCCACAGATGATCCAAAAATGCGGAAAGTTTTGGGCTGCCTTATTGACGAACTGCAAATATATAATAAACAAAATTATTGTGCATGAAAAATATGACAATAGACAATGCTCGAGAAGCACTGGGAGTTTTCGAACGACGCGTGCTTAGGACCATCTTTGACAGGGTATATGAAGTGTATGTGTATGGAGGAGAAGAATGAACCACGAACTGGCGTAACTTTATGGCGAACCCAATATCCAGAAAGTCGCTAAAGGTGGAAGGGTACAATGGGCGGGACACGTTGTAACAATGCCGGACAACAATCCCGCAAAAAATGTGTTTTCCTCAAATCCGGCCGGTACAAGACGCAGAGAAGCACAGCGTGCTAGGTGGTTAGACCAAGTGGAGCAAGATGTAGGAAGTGTGGGACGCTCGAGAAATTAATTATATGATTTGAGTAGTAGCTATGCTGAAGATCCGAGAGATGTCGTCCCTTCAGTGGTAGGAAAATCATTTTTGCAGTATGAAGAATATCAGAAAATCTACGATTTGTGACTAAATCAAGAGCAAATTTTCATTACGTCGAATGTAACAAAGGTAAACAAAGTCGAGCTATCAGTGTCAATCGATGCTCCTGCTATTACACTATATCAAGAGCAAATTTTCATTATGTCGTAAGTAACATTCGCACCGATCCGAGAAAAATAATGTTTTGTTTTGATGACCGAAAAGTTATTCCTATTTCCAATTAAACACATATAATCTCATAGTGGTAGCAATGTTTAACATATTTAGCCGGGTTTTAATCATCCAAAGGCAAATCGCTAGCTTTCATGCTAAGAAATACTGGTTTTTGAGTCAAAAGTTATTATACGTCGTTTGGTGGCCCCTATTGTTACTTAAGTCAAAGTGTATTTACCAGGATATTCGGGAGAATTATCAATTACGTCTCCTTACGTGCAGCCCATTCATCATGTTAGGACCACCGAAATCATCTTAGCAACAAACAGTTCGATTTATTCACTTTAATAATGAGAAAGCGAAACGACGAAAGTACACTTTTCACGGGTTTCTCAGTGCTGTTACTTAAGGCAAACGGCATCTCCATATAAATCGGGTGACTTAAGTAACATCGAAAACTATTTTGATCGGAAGGTGATTACGTCAAAAAGCAATTCGACTGGTAAATAAATTTAAAAATGGGATGTGATCCTATATTCGGACAGTATATAGTGTAATAGCAGGAGCATCGATTGACACTGATAGCTCGACTTTGTTTACCTTTGTTACATTCGACGTAATGAAAATTTGCTCTAAAAAAACACATGCACTAACCTGCAGAGATCCGGCTTCGTACTCCCCGCCGGGTTCCAGCGTCTGACTTCCTACCGGGATCCGGCTTCGGACTGGTGCACTTTTCTAAAAAAAAAAAAACATAATTACATTAAATAGGTACATTAATTCACATTTACTTACCTGAAAAACAGCCTTGCTGATTTACCACCACTTTCCCGGACTAATTTGCCAAAACAACACACACCGCGAAAACACGGCCAATGTGATCGACGCAAATTTGAATACAGTGTACTCAAAATCGAAAAAAAGTGCAGGAACGCAACGATGAGTAAATTTGCCTCGAGATTTGCCTCATGTTTTCCTGTGGAAAACCTCAAAAATCTTCCAGAAAATTAGGATTGACGAAAATCCACAGAATCCAATCTTTACTTTTCTTATTTTCGGAAAATTTTTCCTGGAAAAACCTGGAAAACCTGGAAAAACAGAGGGAAATTAACTCAAAACTGAGTTCCTGTACTTTTTGCGATTTATGAGTGAACTAAACTCAAATTTGGGTGTTCTCATTTGCCGTGTAGTGCTGACTCGGACAAAACAAACTTTGCATGCGCAACACGGTGTTTCTTGAAAACCCATTTATGGGTAAAAAAAATACCCATTTTCAAACCATGTATGCAGCTGTCAAAAAATGGGGGAATTTGGAAATCATAAAATGTTGTGTCATAGGATGTATTCTAATGTTTTATGCGTGCAACAATTTACATCGTGATGAACTTTGATTCTAATGTAACGTTAGGTTCTGTTGTCATTGGATGTATTCTGATGTTTTATCCATGCAACAAATTACATCGTGATGAAGTTTGATTCTAATGTAACGTTTGGTTCTGTTGTCATTGGATGTATTCTGATGTTTTATGCGTGCAACAAATTACATCGTGATGAAGTTTGATTCTAATGTAACGTTAGGTTCTGTTGTCATTGGATGTATTCTGATGTTTTATGCGTGCAACAAATTACATCGTGATGAATTTTGATTCTAATGTAACGTTAGGTTCTGTTGTCATTGGATGTATTCTGATGTTTTATGCGTGCAACAAATTACATCGTGATGAATTTTGATTCTAATGTAACGTTAGGTTCTGTTGTCATTGGATGTATTCTGATGTCAAATTTTACATCGTCAAGACGTTTGATTCTGATGTAACGTTTGAGGCTAATGTATTTTTATGTACTTGGACGTCACACTGAAGTCTGAATACATTAAGGGTACAGCAATACACGTTAAAATTTAATGTATTGAAGATGTATGCTGATGTTTTCTACATTACAATTTCTATTCGGGTGTTTCAATAGTTGAAAGCATTGTTATCGATGCGTAGAAATATTTCTGTTCAATTGGCGTAAAATTATTGAAATTGGTACAGGGGCAGCTGAGTTATTCACGTTCAAAATCTTTCATAATTTCGTTACATGTTCCATTTTCGGTTTTCACAAAGTGTACCCCCATATAGAAATCACAGACGTAGTCCTACGTCAAAATAACCCACCTCACTACACAACTATCCTTCCCTTAAAGGCCGTTGAGATGCAGGTGTATTCGGTCTCTTCTAACAATGGACGTCGAACTAATCATCCTTTACTCCCCAAAAGACCGTGAGGACGTGGCCGGCGCTGTGATTGATCTATAAATAGATTGAATTAGTGTGCTTGTACATTAAAGATAGAAAGCTAATCCCATGCACCATCTACGTGATTCTCTGTACAAGTGCATTAGTTCTGATCAATGACGGAGAAGCATCAACACGGTATTTAAAAAAAAAAAAAATAAATAATGAGATTGAACGGCCGTACACAGAAAAAAAAAGTTGTTTAATATTACATCCAAACTGCTGCAACCAGGTCAATCCCGAGGGGGGCGACACATCTAAATCTCAATACTAGATGCTCAAAAATTTTCACACTAGTGAATCAATCTTCGAAAACTCTTCTTTCAGTTCTCGCATCTACTTGCATCTACTTGCATCTTTTTGCAGGAAATCTGCAGAATCGTCATCAATCTTCTTTCTATCTAATCTGCGTGCACGCAGCTAGCCACAGCAAAACACAATCTTTCCTGCAACGTAGATAGAGTCGTCCCCCTCGGTCAATCCATCGGTTGTGTGATATAATGTTGTACGATGTACATCGATTTTGCGAACAAAATTACATCCATTGATGTAATATTGTATCTGCTTTTTGCTATTACATCATTATTTCATACATCAGCTTGAATTACATTGATCGATATTACATTTTTTTTGTGTATGCTGAATTGCTACGCTTGCCACGAATGTGTCTTGCTACCAGTGTTCGGAAAAACTCAAATCTCAACCATGAGTTTGTTCACCTCTGTTTTTGCCTTGTAAAATTCAACCCCGCAAAAACCACCGTTGAGTTTTCAGGTTCAAAATTCATTGCTATATGTTTTAACGTTACTAATTGTTATTACCGTTGTTTTTGCATCAGTGGGTGGAAACAACACAACGTGCATGAGCATGAGTTGACGTTTGAGTGGTTTTTATGAGTTTTAAGCTTTAACCTAGGGTAAATGGCTCTGATGTTGGGCTATGGATTTAAGATTGGGCCCATCGCTAAAAATCTGTTATTTATCAATTTTATCTAAATGAACGCGTCATTGGGACGGTACTAATGGATATTTTTGGTCGCTATTGAAAATTTAGTCGATTGCTGAATTGGGTTCTTTAAGGGTATTGAGGTTAATGCATTTTCTTAATCTGCATTAAAAATGGAACCCAAACCCAAAATATCATAAATTTTTGTACACTGGAACTATTTTAAATAAGTACGATTACATTTGCAAAAATCACCTTATTAGCGCCCCTCGGTGTCACTTTGTATGGGAGCGAGCTGTCAGTTTGTCAGTTTGGTGTCAAACAGGTAAGTTATTATTTTGCTTTAAATCTTGATTTAAAAATCGAGATGAAAGTATGGGGGTTCGAAAAAAAATATAGCTGTGCTCGGAAAACGCAGCTCCTTCGGAAGATATATAAAAACCGATATTATTTTTTTCAAAATTAAAGAACCCAATTCCAGAACAACATGTGAAAAGGGCATACAAGCTTTTTGTAAACAAACCTTCTTATGCCCTTTCCTCGCCACCCATATGACACCAACGCAAACCTTTAACATCATCGGGTAGGGGACACTTTCCCCTTCCCGATGATATTGCTAGTTTGCGTGGGCGACCCTCGGTTGGTGAGAAAAGGGCCTACAAAGGTTTGTTTACAAAAAGCTTGTATGCCCTTTTCACTTGTTGTTCTGGAATTTAGGCCGACATTACATCAATTTCCCCTATGTTTATTTAAAAAATGAAAAACATGTTTGAAATAAACATATTTATTTTTGTTCACATTGTTGTCAAATCAAACCAATTATAACCACATTTATTTTCAACACGAATATTTATAAAATAAACGTCACATTTTTATGCTTATGTGCCATAAAATTGCCAACATTGCAACTTGCAACCATATTTTCAAATCTAACAAACCGTGCGCCGTCCAACTCGTGAAACTACGACACCGTTCCCTGTCACTGAGTCTGACGTAGATGCTGAATGCTCTCAGTGCTCTGACAGCCCGATTGTTCTCACTGCGGTGCTGAAAGCGACACACCACTCCCCTACGTACGTGTTTTGATTGCACTCTATATAGGCGGCGGTGTGATGTTTTCTCGTTTTCTCTCGGACTAAATTCCCTAATAAGCGCACAAAACCCGTTCAAAACTTGGTTAAAGTAGTGTCGATTGGTTGTTGGATACTTCCGGCGCGTCGGTGCGATATAAGTTCCGTGCGAAATGTGTTATCTAGTACGTTATGGTGATTTTTCCTCATCCGGGCCAAAGATCATCTCGGCAGCTTGAAGAGATAGAAGGAAAAAATTGTGCTGGCATAGGCAGCATCATCATCGTCATTACCATCATCATCAACAGTAGCCGCCGCCGTCGTCGCTGAAGAAGAGGCTGCTGCTGCTGCAAAATAGAGCACCAGCACCGGTCAAACCATACCGTCATCGAAGTCGAAAGGAAGGAAGGAAGGAAAAGGTGAAAATTGAAGAAAGTGAAAAACAGAATTTAAGTTGGGTCTCGTCGCCGGTGAAATATAATGTAAGGTACATGCATGGCTGATGGTGGCTGTGTGGTTGGTATTTTTAGGGTGTTTTTCGAGAGAGGATGCTGGCATATCTTGTTTGCTGTTTCAAGTTAATTTAATGATTGTGTATAGTTTTTTTTACAATAATTGTACCTTTTAGCAGTTCAAGGAAGAAAAAAACCTTTTAATTTAAAATATACTGAAAGTTGTAGTTTAAAAACATTCTGAATTCTTACGTGGTGAATTGCATTTAAGAAATCATGTAAGACGGGAGTATATTAGTGGAGCCTTAAGTCCGTATAACCGGGATAGTGGACAATCCATTAAGAACGATACGCTCTGAGGTAGATGGAGGGTTTTGAATTATCTGACAAGCAATGTACAAGACATAGGAAAAACGTGACAAAGTGAGGGAGGGGTGGATTAATTTGATTTTTTCTGAACTTCGCGTGGCGTACTTAATGCATCCTCCATAGTTTACATAATAATCTAGATGAATTCAAAGTGTTCTTACAGCTTTGATCGATTGACTTCATCGACTTTCTCTATTAATTTTTTTTAAAAGCTTTATTACGGATATTCTTAGCCAACAGGCTAGTTCATTATCGATTCTCTATTGATAACCACGGGTATATAAACATATTTCGCGCTATTCTTGACACATAGTTTGATGAAGAAGGTTCTCATCTAGCGTTCAGAAGGACAAACAAAACAGGAAATGTTTTGGCAGCTGAGTTCTAGGACAGGACGTGCCAGTTCAGAGATAGATGCCTTCATGTAATTTATGTTTGAGTTTACACTGGTGGCACTTACTAGTACATATTGCCAAATATGTTGATATAAATGTTCAAATACATTAAAATCAATCATTCATATCCATTTCTTGCAACTCATCATCAATTGTCCCAGGTTCCATTGCCATTCAGGAAATTAATTTAAAATCGTCAGTCAACCTTAATGTTGGTAACTGGAAACTCCGTTAATTTCATTTACGCCCCAAAAGTTTGTTTAAGCTCGAGCTCGAGGATAAAAAATATAATAAATATACAATAACACTTTTTTTTTAAATAAACTCAACCAAAAGAAAATGAGATAAATTGCCGACTGCTAGCAGCACGCCCAACCAACAACAAAGTGCCCCCTTGTAACTCAACGGTGTGAACGCAGGCGTTTCGTCGATTTTTTTTTTTGTTAATAACTTGAGCACTAGATGCTAGATAAATACATGGGAATGTTAACATTGCCGTGGGGATACAAAGAGAATGTCGACGAAGGGAATCTTTAAATATTACTTAGGACCTAATGCAATGTTCAGCTTGACAGTCTTATTTTTTCACTAGCAGCTGGCAAGCAGTTATTAACGAAAGGAAAAGTCGATGAAGAAAATCGATCAAAGCAGATAGGACCTTTTGGGATGTTCGTCTAGTAATAAGTTCAACTTATGTTCTTCGTAAGTGCTCCAGGCAGTTGTTATATAGCCGTTCTACCCATATCAGTCGGATGTTCTAAAAGTTGCATTTGAGAAAATCGCGAATAATGTTTCGAATCATTTCTGCTCATTGGAAGAAATATGTTAAAATAAGCGCATTGTTCACATTTCAAAAGAATTAATATGTTTTAGTGAAAACTACAGAAATTACCTTCAATGAAATCAGTTAAGCCTATTGTTATTCGAACACCATTTAGTGGGACTGTTAGTTGCGGATAGTTTGCATAGGTTTGCATCATTAACTGATACCAACAATAAGTTGGTTGACATTGCTGCAATCTTCGTTCGCTACTTCTATAAAGCCATTAAAAAAAGTATGGGCATCTCAAGAAACTAATGATGAATGCTCTATTTAGAACAAAAACTTCTTATTTAGCATCTTGTTCTTCTCCTTCGCAAGATGAACGTAGGGAGATTTTGCTTATTCATGTTGAGTCCGACCATAGATTTATGGCGGTTGACATACTGTGGACAACAGATCAATACATCACACGATCGTGGACTTTAATGATTCCACGAAATACTTTGGAAGAGCTAACAGTAAGGATTTCTTCCGTACGGAGTTGACCTTTATACTACGTATTATTATTATTATTATTATATATACACGTAGACACTATAGAGTGCGAGTGTCTACGTAAGTGAATGATAATGCATTGTTTGAAATTAGAACGCAGGGGCGACCCCGGCGTAGTGGTTAGCATTCATACCTCTCACGCCAAAGTCACGAGTTCAAATCTCACCCCCGGACAAGTCACGAATGACCCAAGAGCGTTAAAGTGACTATAATTAAAAAAAATAAAATAGTGCGCTGAGCTGGTGTTTTAGTAAGAATTTCCGTTTCTCTTAATATTTTTCAACATAAAATAAAATATTTCTACAAGCTCTTAATTCTGAACTTTTCCTTAGTACGGGATATCAAACATCAAGTCTGAGATCTTAGATAAATAGCAATGTTTCAGAATTTCCAAGTCCAAGATCGTCAACAATTTTATGCTACGATTCCAGTGATTTTTTTTTTTAAACTATTTGTTCTAAATTCAAAATAAATTACATTTAATTTTAACCTAGGTGCTCCCGTTACTACAGTAACGTACCAGCCTTAATTGTTATGATATATATCTATGTGTTTTTACATTGTTCCTGCCTTGGCAATTCAGTATTTTAAACAGATTTTTCTTAAACCTGCATGTCAGTATAATATTTGAAATCTTAAAACTAAAAACTAAAACTAAATCTTATCTAAGTATAAAGGGAATTAATCGTTTCAATTGATGATTGCAACGATTTTTGCCTGAAATTATTAATTATTTTGTTGGACATTTGTTCTAAAGTCTCAAAATTCGAAATTGTATGTACATCAGTATCAGTAGTACTGCACCAGGGAGGCAACTTCAAAATCATCTTCAGAACTTTGTTCTGAATCCTTTGAAGTGCTTTTTTCCTGATAGTGCAGCAACAAGACCATATTGGCACAGCGTAAAGCATGGCCGGTCTAAAAACTTGTTTAAATATTAGAAGTTTATTCCTCAGGCAACGGTTGGATTTCCTGTTTATAAGAGGATACAAACGTTTTATATATTTGTTATATTTGACTTGAATGCCTTCAATGTGATCTTTAAAAGTTAATTTTTGGTCAAATACTAATCCAAGATATTTCACTTGGTTTGACCAGGAAATTGGAATTCCGTTCATAGTGATTATGTGACTACTACTAGGTTCCAGAAAGGAAGCTCTAGGCTTATGTGGAAGTATTAGAAGTTGAGTTTTGGAAGCGTTGGGAGAAATTTTCCATTTTTGTAAATAAGAAGAGAAAATATGCAAACATTTCTGCAGTCTGCTGCAAATAACACGAAGACTTCTTCATTTAGCGGAAATGCCTGTGTCATCAGCGAACAAAGATTTGTGGCAACCCTGAGGCAAATCAGGGAGATCCGAAGTAAAAATGTTATACAATATAGGCCCAAGAATGCTACTCTGAGGAACTTCTGCTCTAACAGGTAGTCGATCAGATTTGTAATTTTGATAATTTACCTGCAGAGTTCTGTCAGTTTGAACTAATTTCATAATAATATAGTGGAAAATTAAACTTTTTCAATTTAGCAATCAAACCTTCATGCCAAACACTGTCGAATGTTTTTTTCTATGTCTAGAAGAGCAACTCCAGTCGAGCAGCCTTCAGATTTGTTTGAACGAATTAAATTGGTAACTCTTAGGAGTTGATGAGTAGTTGAATGCGAAATCCAAACTGCTCATCTGCAAAAATTGAGTTCGTATTGATGTGAAGCATCATTCTATTTAAAATTTGCTTTTCAATAAGTTTACATATTGAAGAAAGCAAACTTATTAAACGGTAGCTAGAGGCTTCAGCTGGATGTTTATCCGGCTTCAAAATTGAAACAACTTTTGCATTTTTCCATTTATCAGGAAAGTATGCCAAATGGAAACAGCTGTTAAATAATTTTACCAAGAAAGACAAGGTACTCTCTGGGAGTTTTTTGATGAGGATATAGAAAATTCCATCATCACCTGGAGCTTTCATATTATTTTTAGTTTTTAGTTATAGATCTTACTTCGTCCAAATCAGTCCCCCAGGAATCATCAAAAATATTTTCCCGAGAGAAAATATTCAGATAATCCCGAGCAACCTGATTCTCAATAGGACTAATAAGACCCAAACTGAAATTATGGGAACTCTCGAATTTCTTAGCAAGTTTCTGAGTTTTTTTCCGTTGAAGAATTTAGACCTATGATGGGTAAGTTTCTGAAGGTCACCCTTGAAAAAATTCTTTTGCTGGCCTACGCATTGGAATGGTAAATAGGCAGCTATAAACGTAAGTTGTCCAAATTTTGTTTCAACAGAAACTCCCAAAGTTTCAAAAACTTTGGTTTCAAATGAAGAAAGAATTTTATGTTTGATTCGTCTATGAACAATGATGGCAACAGTAAGGTGGAAATCTTGAAGGTGATTCACTATGTATTACTTCGTATTGAAATCTACTCAATCCAGCCTCGATAAGTACACTAAAAGCCTCTTCTGGTGACATCATTCCTCGTTGATCAGTTAGTTGAGCCAGCATGGTTTTAGAGCTTTTTTGGTTTTTTAAAATATGCCCAATAACTTTAACTAAATTAAAATCCTTTCGATTATAAGCGGTCCGTCTTGCAAATAACAAAGCTTTCTCGATGGTATCGAATTTTTGATCAAATGCTTCTTTATCGATGACGCGACGTTTTCCTCTTTCACTCAAATCCAAGAAAGGTTTTGAAGGTCGTCAACGTTTTGTTCCCGAGGCCGAGGTTGAGGCAACACATTGCTCCTGTTCGATGAATTCCTCGATGCCAAATTCTCCATCAAGCCAATTCCGAAAATACGACTCAAATCGCTCATTCGCGCGATTAGCTTCATGCCATTTGTTGATGTATTTAGTAACGATTTTATGGATCTTTTAATCGAGACGT